TGGGGGCAATATGCTGACTCTGTAAACCGCTTAGAGAGGGCTGAAAGCCCTATGAAGCGGTATATAAAAATCTGCTATTGCTATTGCTATTGCCTAAAAACATGTTTCTCCATTTCTGATCCAAGGAAATGTAATATTCTGCCTTTTTTAATATTTCCTAGGATATTTCATTTTTCTAGGAGAGGGGTGGGTGCTAACTTCCTACAGGCATGAAAGGCAATTGAGTGACTTTGGTTCTGTCAGTCCATGAAGCTATGCCCAGTCGGTCAATTCTTGATCCAAACACTAAATCAACACTTGCTTGATCCGAACAATGAGCGACCCAATCTGCTCTTGTGACTGAAGTGGCAAACCCCACCACCCATCACCCACCCCAACAACAACAACCTTGGGTTGAAGCAGCATTCCCCTGCAAGTGTGGAAACCAAGCCTGGTTTCAAGGTTAATGACAGTTTATTTTGCTAACCCAATTTTCTGGCTTCGCTAGTCACACCAAAGCTTAAACTACAAGGGCTGGTTTGTGTAACACGCTCGGCTAACCTGTGGCAAAGTACTAGGTAGGTGGATCAAGTATGATGCGAACCTAGGCTCGGTGCAAACCACGCATACGGGCGAAGCGTCACCAGGCGCAACCGTTCCAAACAGCTTTCTTCGCTTTTGGGCCGCTTGCGAGGCTCTCAATTCGCCCTTGGCTGGGCAAATCCTTCCCCAGCCGAGGCGGAGACAGAGGCCAGCCTGGTCCCGGTGGCTTGCTGTAGGGGGAGCCATGCGGCGGCTTGAGTCTCCTCGCCTCGCTTCTCTTGCCTTTTGCCGGAGGTGGAAACTCCTCGTTGGGGATGGGAGGGTCTAGCGGCTTGTGCAGTGCTTGCACGCCCGTCTCCGGCTGAAGAAGCACGGCGCTTTCCTCTGCCCTGATCTGCCTGGGTCCACCTCTTCCTTCTTCCCGCCCCTTTGCTATCCTCACCGCCGAGGCGCTTGTCGGCTTCTCCGGCTTTTCCCTCACCAGCATGCAGGTTTTCCAGTACCCCGAGGTGTTCCGCGACGAGACCTCCGTGAGTACCGGCGTCTCTGCCCGCTGCTGCCTTTCTTGCCCCGCTTCGCGTGGCTCTCGCTCTCTCTCTCTCTGTCTGTCTGTCTGTCTCTCTCTCTCTCAAGGTACATTACCGGAGGGAATATTTTACAGGTAGTCCTCAGTTTACGACCACAATTGAGCCCAAAATATATGTTGCTAAGTGAGACATTTGCTAAGTGAATATTGCCCCATTTTACGACTTTTGTTAAGCGAATCACTTAACATTTGTAAAGCGTTGCAGGCGTTGAATTATTAAGGCAGTTGTCTAATTTCCCCCTGCTTTGTCAGAAGATTACAAAAGGAGATCACATGACCCTGGGACACCAGTGTCATAAATGTGAGTCAGTTGTCAGACATCCGAATGCAAATCATGTGACCATGGGAATGCTGCAATGGTCATAAGTATGAAGATTGGATCATAAGTCAATTTTTTCAGGGCCATTGTAACTTCTAATAGTCACTAAGTAAACTGTTCTAAGTCGTGGATTACCTGTAGTTCAAAACTATCCCCCCCCCTCTGCATTTGGATAATTAGGATCTTAAAAGAACATTTGACAAACACCTGGACTAGTTGTGCACTTCAACAAGGGCCTAGATCAGTTGTGCAATCTTCTGAGGGTTTCTAACACCCTAGTTTTGAGGGAGCGGGATATCCAACTAGTGGGTTCCCTATATTCTCTGGCTACACCAATTACTGAAAGCAGAGACATTCCCACCAGCGCTTACTTTGATCTGGCTGCTCATTCATGCTACCTTGGATGCTCTTTATTATAGGGTAAGGGTAATACGGTGCCTGACCTTGGAAGTTTAGTGTTGGCACATCTTCACCAAACCCAAGCCTTACATTAACACAAAACCTGTTGTTCAAGAAGAGAAACATTTGTCTGCCAAATCAGATAGCAACTATAACCATTGGCTTGTTCATAGCAAGTGGGTTGATTTACTTGAGGCTGTTCCTCAGGCACTTTTTCTGCAACTTATTTAATTCTCTACATCATGACATACCAAGAGAAAGTGAAGATGGATAACATTGTTTTCCAGACAAATCTACACTATCTTTTGTTTCCTCCTCACAACAAGTGTATTCAAGTTTGATCCCTATGGGCACTTCTGTGTAGATTTCATGGGTGAATTCTTAATTGGAAGGTGAAAAAATTAAATTTGAGAATGGGAGAAAATGGGCAGCGTATCGCACCTTAGCAGCTCTGCTGCTCTGCTGTCTCTATTCCTGAGTAGATTCCTAACATCTGTAATGTGTCAAAAGAAATTCTGCATGAGTCCATTTACACAGACATTAAACTCCATTCTGATAAAGTAATTGAAATATCTTTGGAGGTTCCTCCTTCTGCTCTGTTGTGAAACTGTAATTTTTTTCTTCTGCTTTTTATACCCTCTGACACTGAAGTAAATCTATTCATATTTAAAAATCAATCTTACATCTTCATTTTATTAACTAATGACTGGAAAACTTCAACTATTGGTCTTAGCCCTCTCATTCATCCATCCATCCATCTATCTATCCATCCTATATGTCAGCACTTGAATTCAAATCCATATTGTTAGGAATATAATTCTAATGGTTGGGTTGGCAATATATAAATCATGTAACAATAGTTGAAGTTTTCCAGTCATTAGTTAATAAAATGAAGATGTAAGATTGATTTT